TGAGCTTGATTGAGCTGGATAACCGAAAGGCGCGCAAATGACTGTTCACAGGGACCTAACCTATGTCTGGGGCTAGGTGCAACCTTCGCACCATATATTCCGCGAACTATCACCTCTTAATCGCCGGACACAAAAAAGTGAAATGTGAAAAAGTTGAGTTTGTCCTAGACGCACGGATCTTGCATGTGTTTCAAAGAAAGTATACATTAACTTTTATGGCGTATTGTCTGTTTGCCAAGTTTACATACAACAGAGATGCTGGGAGCTTCTCGGTAGAAAGGATAACTCAGGTCTAAAAAGCATCATTTTGTTCATTTATAGTGGGCAGCGGGATGCATATGATACATTGGTTAGATAACTGACAATCGAGTAATCCAGCAACATTTTCCAGGGCATAGAAGGGAAGGACATCCGTGAACAAAGAACTGTGCAGGCAAATGATACTTCCCGTTTGCCCAGGTCTAGGAAGATTCGAGGTCCTACCTATCCACAAGGTAGTACCAGGATGTACGGTTTCGTTCGGAGACTCGCAAGGCCTGGCCTGTGACTCGCAAGTCAGTGAATAGTAGGGTTTTCTTGTGGGCCCCGTCTGGAGCACGTGATTCATTACTCGACAGCAGGGAGCTGGTTCAACCCCAAGGCGCAGGCAGTGGGACGAATGTGACACTCCTGGTGCTGCCACGCACAGCAGATGTGCTTGAAGCCGCACCGAGCTGATGGCATGATGAAGTGAATACTCGGCCACATTATTACTCGCCGGCGGTCGCGATAAACTCCTGGGCAATTGGAGATTTCTAGCCCGTTCTTCTTCAGGGCAAAGCAGCGTCACTGCTTTCATCATTAGGAATATGCTGACTGCCCAGTGTAATGCCTTCACACTCCCGTATCAGAGGGCCAAACGACTCTCCCCAAACGGTCAAATAATATGATTACTCAACACGTGGGCTCGTTGCTGTTGCTCTAACTGTTCCTGGTCTTTCCGGTATGGTTGGGTCTTTGACCACACCGGTGTAGCCGAAGAAATGCTTCAGAGAATTCGAACTTACTGGTCTTACAATTTCTGTCTGTCGCAGTCTAGGCGCACATCTAATTCTTGAACAAGACTTTTGACACTTACCTTGAAGTCCTGGCTCGGTTTCTGATTCTGGTTAGTAATGGAGTTCAGAAGCGAGCGATGGTCACAATGAGTGAAGTGACAGACAGCATGTGCTAGTGCACAGGTGCGTGCACTGTGGGTGGAATGTGTATGAGTAGACAGCTAAGAAGGAAGGTGCATACACAACTAAAATCTGACCAACTATTTACAACGAACACAGAAAGGGATATAGCACAAATAAAGCAACAGTAGAAAAAATAGAGTAATAGCCACATGAGAGCGGTGGGAACTCGCATTCTCAAAATTCGTCAAATTCCCAAAGCTTCATCGTGCTTTTATGTTTTCAGGAACCAAGAAATCCATGTGTCCATGCACATGGGCTATGCAAGCCATTTCAGTGCTTGCGAAATCCAAGAAATCGTCTTAAAGGATATAGTTGTGTCTGCCCAACAGGAACCCGCAGCATGAGCTATACCAATCCTGAGTGCGTGAACATCAACGAATGTGTCGAGTTGGTAAATCCATGCCTTAACGGCGGCACTTGTGTTGACTTGGATCCATCAGTTCAGGTTTTGAAGGAGAATCCTGGCCAACCGATGGGATACGAGTGAGTTAAAACTGCCAGTATTACCAACCCTTCTTGATACACTGAGTGTGCTACCGCACGTGTAGGCTGGTGTGTGCTTGCGCTGTAAAAGGGTGACACTAACGGGTAGATGTTAAAAGGTCCTTTCTGGTGACTAATAAGAATATCTTTACGTGATTTAATACCTCTTGTGCTAATCTCATAATGGCAATGGCTATCAAAATGAAAGGTACGTAATCCAAAATGCAGTCTGCCAAAACCGATACCATTAATATCGTGCTCTGCACCCATGTAATATATTGTGCATTCGTGATTCAAAGGAGATTTATTTTGATACAAGTCCTGAAGATCGTTTGTTGTTAGTTCTGACTTTTGCATGTTTTTTGGTGACTCGGGATGAACTGCGATAAACAAACAGCTTGTGCTGGACTCCAAAAGTGAGATTTAAATTGAAAGTGAAACTTAAAGAAAAAACATCTATTTGAAAAGTGATTTATCGCAATCAGAATTTCGGCGCTTCTTTTGGAGTATAAAAGGTCTCTACTGTCTTGTTATCTAGACCTTCTAAGTCCATTTTTGTGCTCCGTTGCTATCGTCCTTGACGCTGTCACGGACGTTCAATTCCAGCGTTTCCCTATAATTTTAGTGCAAGATCTAAGAGTTTCTAGCCGTCGAATATATGGATGCAGTTCGTGTAGTGTGAGGGGAGTTGATTCTGATGTAAAACGACACGGATGTATGCGTGCTTGGTTTCCTGTATACGATTGTCAATCTGTTCAACCAAAATCGCTTGTATTATGAAACAGAGTGTAAATATGTGTCCATCATTCCTCTGTTCCCATTTATAAGAATATCTAAGAAACATGCCATTACCTGTCGAAGAAAAATGATATACGTTTGATCCCACAAGGACTTATATGACAAGAAGCGTCGAAGCTCCATAATACCATCTACCCCAATAGGAGGCAGCACAAAGTAACTCTCTCCTAGAACAAGGCTTAATAACCTCCGTCAGTGAGAAAAGCTCATTTGTATGGACAGTTATTTAGGCTGGGTTACCTGGCTCTTCGATGTTAAGCAAGTGTTGAACTTCACATCACATAAATCGCATGAATCCCTGGGTCAATACAGATTAGACCCTTTGAGTACAAGTCAGACTTGGTCGCACAGCTTGGTATCCTGTCATCGTAAAGCTTCCGTGTAACCATGGGATGTGGATAGGGTGCCAGTGTTGGACGTAATGGGAGGCCGAATGTTGGAAACAAATATCGCAGTTTAGTTGGGATTTCCATCATTGTTGTACCAGAAGCAGCAGAAAATTCAGGTCACTTAATGAAGGCCTCAACAACGATTAGGAATTTTCGCTTGTTACTTTGTCCGGCGAAATCCACATGGATGCGGAACCATGTTATCTCCGATTGTAGCAAAGGCTGCGGGGATTTTCGGTCCGGTAACTTCTGACCGGTGACAACCGGGAACAGCTCCGACGTGCATGCTCCACATGTTCACCCCCAAGGGAGCTGATAAAAATAGCCGCAAAAGAGTTTATCCTCAGAGGTCCACTACGAAACTAAGAAGACACTCAGAAGCAACTAGTGGGAACAATGATCCGGCCACCAAAAAGTAGCCAGTCATCAGCAACGGACAAGGAACTTCATCGTTGGAACAGTAATATAAGTTTGGACGAAATTGACTCCTCATGAGGTTGTTCAAACAGTCCGCGACCGGTGTTGCCCTTCTCGGGACCCATCAGGTTGACGCGGTTTCTATCAACCTCATATCCTACTTGAACTCAAATTGGACAGATTTTGAAAAACACTCACTTGCACATCAAGTTGGCTTTGAAAACATCATAAGCGGGAGATTCAGCTGGGTTCCAGGTGAGTCACCCGTCAAAACCCGAATTGATATGCAAATAAGTGTGTTTGTCAGTAATCTCAGTTCTTCTAGGTCCGTCGTACCTTAGTACGTTATCGTTTTTGGTGGCATCATAAACCATGTCGAAAGTCACCAGCAGTTTAGGGTTTCCAATAACGGAGCACATGTTTATGGTTCGACGAAAACGGCTGCTGTGATGGTGTCTTCCGGCTCCATCACATGAGGATCAGTCAAACGTGAAAACGGATCTTCCTGTCCACTGTTCCAGACTAGGGCAACATTTATGGCAAAGGATTGCGCAACCGGTTGGCTGTGTAGACCGGACTATCTTTCTTGGAACGAAATATGGCCAGTGGAGGTTTGTCATGCGTTGGAAGCGCTAAGATCCGGTCGTAAAGCATTTTGTTAAACTTGTCCACACCAAAAATGATGCTCATTTATTCTTTTTGATCTGACCGTAGCCTTATTCCGCTAAAGCAATGGTACTCTGACATAGGCAATTTCACTCTGCATTGATGAAGGGAGATATTATATCAACTGTCCAAGAGACGTCAAATATCACACTGACTTTGCTAGTGACAACCTATTCGCTTTGGAACCTCTTCAAACTTATGAAGATCCGTTTTAAACAGCATTCCTTCCTCGCTCCTCCAGTTACATCTCTGCTGATGATGGTAGGTAGGGACTGCAGCAATAGAAATCGCGTGCAGAAACAGAGTATTACTTGCTCCACCACGATGTGCGGAAACGCTGTAATATTCGCCTTCATGTGTGCTTTATTTACACAAACCTTAGCCATTTGAATCTATAAACATTTATCTGTAGGTGTATTTGTAAGAACGGTTATGTTGGTTATCGGTGTGAAAGACCACCGCCTGGTTTACACTGGACGAACTGGGGCCCTTGGTCCAAGTGTTCTGTCACGTGTGGTTTCGGAATCAGTATACGACGCCGAAAATGTCCAATTCAAAACCGCTGTGACGGTCGCGAGACTGAGACCATCCGTTGTCTTGCCCCTGTATTTGACTGTACCGAATCTCGTGGAGAAGTTGATATTGTCCCGCAAGGCTTGGGAACAAAAATTGTCGAATCTGTAAGTTTATTCTTCTGGTAATAAAATAGTCATCCGACGTCGTTCGACAGATTAAACATAATGCGTAACATGTGGATATCCTCACCTTGAACTGCGAATGATGAAATTTCGAATAGAAGTTTACTTGCGCACTGATAACAGTACCTTAGTTATAGTAAATACCAATGGATTTTGGGTTCCTTGTTAACTCAGTTTGATGAGCAAAGCACCACTGTGGTGGCACAGTACGTTTAAATCATACTAGCACGCATGAAACAATCAGTGGTATAATAAAACAAATATCATCTAGTTCTGTAACAAGGTCCCTTCCGTGGGTTAATTTGGTCTGAAAGCGATGTTGCCATTGAAATTCGCTTCAGAGACTAAAGTCGGAACTTCCTCAGGATAAACTACCAGTTCAAACGAACCACTATTGGCTTGTTCCTTCATATAATAATAACATTATACATAATTCTCAACTTGGATCGGACCAGCTTTATTACACCAAGCAGTCTTAGAATTTTCTCCGAAACTAAACTGGCACGTGACACATGACCAAACGAAAAATTATAAATTTTTTCTCGCATACGCACCATAATCATAAGATTGCTTAAAATACTTTAACAGCCCTCATGATATTTCAGTAAAATTATGATTGCCGTGTTCTGTGAAAAAACTGCAATTTTCTGAAAATCATGTCACCTGGGACATTGGACGGCCTATATATAGCAAAATCAGTTGGAAAACATCACGAACGAGAGATTCAGTTGGGAATCTTCTTAAACCACCATAATGCTTAAACTAGTGTATATCACCAACAAAAAACAGCTGGCGACTTGCTCGTCAGTCACAGAAAGCGCTATTTTCAAAGGCTGTTACTTCTCGCGGTCCCTTGAAAAAATGAACTTACTTCAACTGCATACCCTAACTCAATCAGTTTTCACGAAACGATAGGTTGATAGGTAGGTAATGGATTCAGATTGTGTGTAGTTAGGATTGTGGTGAGACAACAGATTACAAGCATTTAATTCACGAACCTATACTGGGCAGTGAGGATTTTCAGGAGGAACTTAAGCGAATATCTTGTTTACACTTGTTTCAAAATAATGTACCACACAAAGTAGGATGTAAATGTTGGCGAAAACCTGGGAATTGGGTTGCGCTATAGGGGTAGCTCATTTGTGTTCCTAGGATGCCGGTCAGTCCATCGCGATTTTGACCAGTTCGTCAACAATCAAGGCGACATCGTCAGTGAGGAGTCGAATGGGTTAAATCCTCCTCCTCTGTCTGTGCTTAGCTGGTTCCTAAACAGCATATAACAGCTTCAACGTGACTGATCGGCCGCGGAGTAGCTTTCGTGCGGTTTGATCGGTCAGCTTGAAACCTGAGTTACGGTGTGATCTTGTTTCCTTGCACCCAGCCAGTTGGTTGGATGCCCTCACTTCGACGGTTCTGTTCATCCATTGTGATGGGTCCTTTTTTCTTCGCTTTATGGTCCCACTTGTTTGGTTGATTAGGTGGTCTTTCGTTTTCGGTAGCTTTATTTCTTTGATCCGGTTGGTTCGTTTATTATTATTAAGTTTTTCGATTTCTCACGTGGTTTGGAATCCAGTAATGGCTTAATCCTTCTGTTTGCAGCGACTGGTCGACGGGGTCAGTGTCAATGTGTTTGTTGTGGAGTATCACGCATCAGGCAACTCTCGCTCCCGTTTTTTCTTGCATGAAAAAGTTGATGTCCTCCTCTGTCTTCAGAAATTAAAGCAAAGAATATTCGGTCATTTCTTTTAATAGCGCAGTTTCCCCAGTCTGTCTAGCATAGTCTGTCGCAATCGTTAAATTTAAGTTTGTAGATAACTTTTCTCAGCTTCGGTGCATCTAGTCGGTCGGGAAATTTGCATGCTGGTTGACTTCTATTTGACACCATCTTTGTTTCCTCTACGAATGATTGCCACAATAAGTATTACAATAAGCAACTTACCGAACGCCACTGAATTCTCCTGATATATGGGGCTTGTTAAGCGGAATGGTTGGTTGATAAGGAGCGAGAGTTGCCTGATGCGTGATACTCCACAACAAACACATTGACACTGACCCCGTCGACCAGTCGCTGCAAACAGAAGGATTAAGCCATTACTGGATTCCAAACCACGTGAGAAATCGAAAAACTTAATAATAATAAACGAACCAACCGGATCAAAGAAATAAAGCTACCGAAAACGAATGACTACCTAATCAACCAAACAAGTGGGACCATAAAGCGAAGAAAAAAGGACCCATAACAATGGATGAACAGAACCGTCGAATTGAGGGCATCCAACTATTTGGCTGGGTGCAAGGAAACAATATCACACCGTAACTCAGGTTTCAAGCTGACCGATTAAACCGCACGAAAGCTACTCCGCGGCCGATCAGTCACGTTGAAGCTGTTATATGCTGTTTAGGAACCAGCTAAGCACAGACAGAGGAGGAGGATTTAACCCATTCGACTCCTCACTGACGATGTCGCCTTGATTGTTAACGGAACGTTTGAAATCCAGTCGAACAAACAAAGATCTAAGCTTTAAGACTGCTCTTATTTTACATGCTCCAGAACTTTGAAACATGCAGTGGGAGGTCGGGTGGTTTCAGTAACCTTCTAAGAGGCGTCTTCTGGTTTTCTTTCGAGGACGTAACGAGTTCAATTTAAAACTCTACTGGACAATCCAATATTCCCAAGATAGTTTGTTGCTTTCTTCCCAACTTTCCGTCTACGCTGGTTTTAGTCCGTCTGGTTGATATTTTCGTCGACTATCGATGTGAGGTTAAGTGCTCTCCATGGTTGGAATCTCGGATGCGGGCAGAATCACTCGCCGCTGTGAAGAGTTCGAGCCGCTCCCACAGTACGTACACCTCCTAGCGCACAATCAGACAACCTGGAAAGAAAGTGACAGTATGAGTGCCATCGACCTCGCCTAGACGTCTTTTATTGGAACCTCTCTAAACAGACGCAGAAGGCATCATGGAGAAACCATAGTGGAAGTCACACCGTACGAACAACACCCAAACTC